AAGAAACAACGTGGAGTTCTTAGAATTGGACTTAGACGTCTAATTAAAATGTTATTGTTTTATGAAAATTTATGTATATGTGCGACATGTGTAAATGAGATATTGATGTAGCGATATATCAATGACATATAAATCATCTGTGCGTAAGTACTATGAGTAAGCTACTTACACTATGACTAATCGCCCTTAAAATATTACGTCAAATTGCTAGGCTCGTACAGCCCTTCTAAATTACATATTTTTAATTGAATTATTATTTATTTTAGCCATTTTTCATATAATATTAATTTGTTTTCAATTCTCTTCTGGATTCTTTAATTTTATTATTCGATGTATATTAGGGATGAGTTATAAGAAGTTAGTTTCTTCCGTTCAAATTATAATGCATGTAGAGTACATGTACGGCTTATAATTTTTTTGAATAAATCTGGCGTGAAGATGGATAATTTTATTACTCATCGTTTCATGCTTCATTCATTCATCTCTCGGATAACGGGATATTCTTCTAATATTTGGGTTAAAAAGTTGGTTTAACTCGCAGCCGGGCTAGAATTGCGATTTTAATTTAATTAATTCGGACGTATAATAATGAATATATGCCGTCGCGTCATCTGCTGCCTACGTTCAGTTTACGCGTGGCCACGATACACTCTTCAAGTTTTCATCATTCCATCATTTCCTCCGCCTCATATCACGTCACGCAAACGCGAGCGCTCTGCCAATCTATTTTATCTACTCATTTTTGCATTTAACATTTTCTTCGACAATTTTCCATCTCTAACGTTCGTTAATATCTTGTTCCAGGAAGAAACAAAATAAATGTATTTTATTCCATTTTGATCGTAATAATTGTAATGATTAATATGGAATTATCTTCTTTCTAAACAATATCAAATTTTACGAAGTTCAACAAAGAGAGACTTCTATATATTTTTATCTTTCTTTTTAATCGTTTTCTCTTCTTTCGCAGATTCCACACATTTTCTAGACTTTAAACACTATGTGTGTCTAACGAGAGAATCTTCGGGCACCTACGAGTGAATGTTCACGTTTGCTCACCGTCGTCGAGAAACTATGTTGAGAAATTATTTTTCTCTTAGATATCTGCTCGACAACATTTTTCAATGTATTTTTAGTGCATTCTGCAACATTCTATGCAAAGTCGCATCGACTTGCTGCTTCATACAAATTAATGGACTGTCACTGTTATGGTATTTCTAAACATGTAGATCTATTGAATTGACTTTGCATCGATCTTAGTCAGCGCGTGTACAATTGAACAAACAAATGCAGTAGCTACCCGATCATCGTCACTAGACGGAATTATGACTATTGTAGTATCGCTATGTTTTAATTTGTTGACTATAATATAGATTATTTTAGCCTTGACGACAATTCCCCAATGTGGCATGTAAAAGCGAATGCGAATCTAAAAAATTTTGAAGATACACGAATTTTTACCTTCTTTTTTTTAATTCGTGACGATTCTCTTAATTAACAGATATTTCGAGATATACATATATACATATATATATATATATGGGGAATTATTTGTCAAATTAAACACCTCCTCTAAAATTTAATTTATTAGCCAAAAAGTTTTCCGGGCTCAAATTGTAGGTACATATATCTACTACTTTCTTTAGCATTCTAGTCTTTTTAGAAATTCGACGGTCCTAACATGACCGCTTTCAAGTGGTCCAAGGTTTCGTCCAATTTCATAAACGTCAGCCAAGAAAGAAAAGTGTTCAGAGATGTCAAAAGGTTTGCAAGTTATCTTGTTGTGTTGTGCTTCATTGCTAATACCAACGTTTTATGAACCTTGTCTTTCATCTCATCAATGCGAGAAGCGCACTTTTGAGAAAAATGCATAAATCGCATTTTTCTTGAAATAGTATTTTCCAAAACGATTGCCATGATAATTCGTACAGTTTTAATTTAATCAACTTGAAATTTTAAGATATTCATGACACTTTCCTTCTCAATCAGTATTTCGTCAACTATACCCATTATTGTTAGGCTCGCCATATTGAATTTTCAAAAAAGGCTAGAGTACCAAAGGAAATACACATGTGTACCTACAATTTAGGCTCAGAAAGAAATTGTTGATGAATTGAATTTTAAACAGAGGAGCATCAATTTGACAGAGAATGCCTAATATATATATACTTGTATATATATATATTACAATATATTAAATTGTGATTTTTCGTTTCTGACATCATAATTCAATACTTGCTATTTACATTGAGAGAGACATGTTGTGTACTTTAATATATAGTGATAACAATTGATTACATGTTCAAGCGAAATTGGACAGTAAATAACCGCATGTTTCTTAGAAAGATTTATATTCTTCAAATACTGATCTGTAATTTAAGCTTTCTTGATTTCATTGTGGTCGGTATGATTATTCTGTGTATATGGAAGTGTACGATGTGAGATTTATTCTACTTACAATTAGTTGCATATGTCTAGCGATTTTTATCTTTGCCTTTCACTCTGCAATTAACGTTCATTAAATTAATGTTTATTTATAAATATTCGCGAATGAGGGAATTGAATTGGTTTGGTAAATACTTCCCAAATGATTACATCTCATATTTTTGTGACGTTTATTAATTTGTATAATTTGCACCTTTGACAGTTTCAAGCAGAATAAAAAGTCATCATAACACCAGTAGACACAAACTGAAAATAACATAACGTCTATGTTATAATTTCACACACTCAACAATATAATATAAATATAATGTAACACATGATGAAGATGTGTCCCTACACGGTCAATAATACTGTCAACAATTGTGTACAATTAACAAATACTGACAATATTATTGATCGTGGTTAATATTGTTGAATTGATGTAGAATACTGATAGTAATCTGGATTTTGAGTCTCGAGCATCAATATTACTTTATTAGGATCCATGTCGCATTGTCACAAGCTAGATAGTGTACGTAAAACTAAAAATACTAAAATGAAATATACTGTCAATCAATCAATGATACTGATGTGTAAGGTTATAAAGATACTAAAAAATATTGATACATATTGTCACTATTAATGATTCCATATTACTGATCAGTGTTATCGATCGTGTAGGGTCCTTTACAGTTACAGTTACAGTGTATAGCATGAAATTATAACATTAATGTTATATTACTTTTAGTTGATTGAGATGATGTGAATAAAGTCCAAAATAATGATCAAAAGTCATTTTTCGATCAGTTACAATTAATTTCAACGTCACATTGACGTTGTCGCAATCTGTTGTTATCTCTACTTGAGTTCGCTTTGAATAGATATCTTACGAAGAAGCAAAATATTCTTTTTTTAAAAAACCAACGATGTATTTAATCCATTTTAAGATGTTAAGAAATATGATTAATTGGATAGTCCCGCGGCAAGTATATAATAATTAAGAATAATTGTTGGGATTTTCGAAGAGTCGAAATTTTGAGTTCCACTCTCGTTTGAGTTCACTTAATAATGCTATTCATCAATGGAACCTTTACTCGACAACCCCGCGCGTGAGGGTCAATTGCTTATTAACTCAAAGAGCCGTAGCGGCTATTAAACGATTTCATTGTCATTGAAATGGTTTGCAAAAAATGAAAACAGTCGCGTTCATCCGGAAACAAATATACGTTCGATTGCTTAATCATACGTATAGGGTGATCCATTGCCGTCGTCGTTATGGGAGAATTTCTTTTACAATTTAAACGGTCATGATCGCGAATCAGAAGAAACGTTTTACTTCCTTCAGGCACATTTCTGAAAAGTACCTCGTAAACATCGCACTTCGTAAACGTAGCTCGCCATGTGTCTTCCTTACAGTCGCCTTAAACCTTAAACGAGTAGCCGAAAACGAGGCAATTTGGCGGTCACATTTATACGTCGGTTTATGAAATTAGACCAAACACGGATGGAAATGATCTTGGAATCTAAACAACGCTGCATCAGCAGTCACTCAATGCTGTACAGCTGCATTCGGTATATCATCAGATACGTCATCGTATACATTACTCAAAATTACGGTGTCATCACGTGTACATTGCAGAATCATGGTTACACTAAAGAATACACGAATTACATATTTTACGTGCTGTGCTTCCCTTGTAAAAATATTCGAAATTGATTTAGCAGTAACGTAATCAAAAATAGAGATTTTAATAATAAAAACAGAATTTTAATAAAAAAATTAATAAAAATTAACTTTTCGTATTTTTCTTCTCTCTCTCTTTCTCTCTCTGTATTATTCCGAATTATTTATATATTTTAAATATTTTTTGTAGAAACATTTTATATAATTGATTTTTATCAATTTTAATAATAGAGTATTGAATAAATTATAATTTGAATATAAAATTAATAGAAATTAACATTTTGTATTAAGAAAAGAGAGAGAGAGACGCGCTTTTAAAATTTATGACATCTCTCTCTCTCTCTCTCTCTCTATCTATCTAACATCTGTTACATATATTATTCATTCGATTTTTCGCGACATTAAATATATCTACTCGCCGAATTAGGCAAATAAATCTTGGAATCCTATTGGATTAGGATCCTATTCAATGCGGCTATCTGATTTTCGTGTCACGTTAACATTTGAATGCCATCTTGATAGGCAAATAACAATCAAAGGTGGATGGCCACATTTACGCTGAGAATACGAATCATCATTTGTCACGAATGATTTCATCATCTTTGCTCAAACCATTTAAAATGTCTATTAAATTCTTTCCTTCAACAAATAAATATTAATATACCATTGGCGAGTTTAGCTATGTCTATATTTAAAGATTCAAAAGTTATTAATTTATCGTTATATGCATTTGATTCTCATTACCATTGCATCCCAATATTTCTAAAAGAAATTTAAGGATCGTCCATTATTTAAGGATCATACAGTTATCTTTTGAAAAAAAATCTAGTTTAAAATATATGCTTCATCGATAAGATAAAAGTAAGTGTAATCGATTTCTGATTGATCTTACCTGGCAGACGTTGATTTTAAAGAGCCATTCGCATAGAGATCGGCTGCCATGGTACTGGTGTCAGCCCGATGACATCCCGATCTTCGTGGGATGCTCCGAGGAATGTACGAGCTGGGATCTCGTCGTTCTTGTTTATTCCTCCCTCCCTTCGTGTTCCTTTTCCTTCGTCAAAAAGCAACAATCAACCGTATTCGGCAAGGATTCTTCGAAATTTTCTCACTGACAATCGTCAACCTTGACCGGGATCATTCTCATCGTGAATGAAACACCAATCGCTTCGGTCTAAACACGCTCGTATTATTGACATTATCCTCATATATATCACAATACACGATATTGTCAACTCTTATATATATATATACATATATATATACATACGTAGGTATATTTTCGTCTATTTAACCGTAACGCGAAAATTCCGCGGCGCGATTTCGGGAAAAGAGCAGAAAAGAGCGTGTGGAACGTCGCGTGGCGAGCGCAATTTCGAGGGAACGACTGTCCGCTCCGTTAACGAAGATATAGGATCATCCTGTGCCCGCCTCGTGACTGAACTATGTCAGACGGGGCACTGTCAATTGGATAACTACTTACCCCACATTGGCACAGTATTGTCGCGTGTATGTGCGCGTAATGCAACGTTTCGTATCGTTTATGCTGAAAGCCTCCACGTAGTCCATGTTCTCCCACCTCTTCTAGACCACTTAAGCTTCTTTTTCTTCTTCTTCTTTTATGAGTACTTGTTCCTTTTGAGGTACAATACATTGCATCTTCTTGGCCTTCCACTTTTCTTTTTCCCATTTCCCTTTTCGTTCTATTTCTACTCTCGCATAGAGCGACCGAAAAAGACTTGAATTTGATTTCTGATGAGAGTCCTGCCAATTCTCATTCTTATTTCTTATATTTTTTTAAAAGATCTATTATCAATTCATCATCCGATTACTTACTGTTGCATTTATTGTATTTATTGCCTTTAACATTACTTGGAATCGAAATAAATACTACGGAGCTGGAAGATCGCATTATCTCGTGCGTATATTCTGTCGTCATTTCGGTAGCATGAATTAACTGATGACGCGGGAAGAATAATCCGTATCATACATCGGCTCAATCACGCCGACCTTGGACCGAAACCAACTGAGATACCGATCTTCGCGAGAAAGTCTATAGATAAATTCCAATTTTTGTTAATATGCCACGTTTATCATGCGAAACCTTTTTTTTTCTTCATTCTCATATCATGTTAAATATTCCACCAATTTTAGAAATCTATAATTATACATATATATATATATCTATAATTATATATATATATATATTATATTCATAAATTTTTTAAAAATCATAAATTCGCCAAAAATTTTATTTAGATCTTGCTTTAAAACTAATCTAATCCTATTCTAAACGATAAAATCTTCCCCAACACTCACAGAGAAAAATGTAGTGATGATAATTATAAAGATAGTAATTAATTTTACTAATGATAATTTCTAATGATGGCTAAAGTGTGTTTTACGTGTGAATTAATGTTATTATTATTATAGTCAAATAAACAATTTCATGGTTGCAGTGAAATAGTTGATAAAACTTATATTATCACCAGTTGCTATCATTATGTCTTTTTCTCTCAGTGAATGATCTTTTAAAGCGGCCTTTACGTAAATAAAATCCAAATATGTGTTATCGGAACATTTTATAGTTACGAAACGTTGAAAATTTAAATGAGATATAGAGATATCCTTCATTCTCCGCAACATTGGGCAAGATTGGGAGTAACTTCTCTCTAGCGGAGAAAAAGCAAGAATAGAAACAATTAAGGATATACAGATAAAAGAAATTGGAAATTTATACATATTGTATTTCATCGATATAACAAATGGCGTGAAATCATTTCGTCAGTTGCAAATACTCTAAACGAATGATTCATCCTATCTCCAATTCCCACTTGCGGCGTCGACCCTCCGCGCGTGCGATTTACGCATCATCAGGTTTGATGGGTCGCTAAAGGCTGCTGACTGAGACCTCCATCGAAGGTTTAGGCTCTATCAGTGACGCAACGTTATATTTAAGAGGCATTGACTTGATTATATTCGGTGTCATTGATAAAAGAATAATCGGATATGCGCGCATGCATGACTCGCATACCAATTGAAATTCTTGGGATTCTTCTACTGGGAAATCAATTTTAGTCTGATCAAAATTGGAGATAATTCAGCGTGTCACTCTGAAAATTTTTTTTTAACTTATTGTGATTATTTACGTAAAATTAAAATACAATCTTTTATCTGCGTGTGTGTTCAATTGTGTGTCTTATATCGTAATAAAGAAATTTTGAATTTTTCTCATTACTTTTTGTTTGTTCGTTTATAAGAAAGTTATATATTTCGTTTGCAGATTGCCGAATTTTTTATCCTCAACCACATGTTCTACGTGTTGAGCAAACCATTGAATCGTACTCAGTTATTTAGGAACAGCTTTGGTAATTATCAGACCTATCTACGTGACATTCCGGTAATGAGAGATATCTCTTATTCGCTGGAGGAATATTATGACGCGAAAACTGCAAGGGGACTACAGCAGCTGAACAGAGATAGCAGAGATATGATGCATGTTAGTAAATTGTTTTTTATTTCTGAAAAGGATCATTCTTCACTAAAGTTCACTTACCACTACTATCTCAGAATGTGACGCCAGAAGCGAGAAAATACATAAAAATTCTTATAAATTATATCCAAATAGAAATATTTTTTAATAGAATAACACGTGCAATCATAACAGAATAAATTTATAAAATATAACGAAAATCTTCTTAAAATATACTGAAATACTCTTCTTGTTTCAAAAATTGTATTATTAATTTGAGTTTGTCTCATAGTTGTGAATAGAGCTTATTTCATTTTTGGTTTCATATATAGGGTGTCTATTAAGTAAGGTCGGAGCCGCATTGGAGGCGTAAAATGAGTCAAGAGAAATAAAAAAGTTTTATAACATTTTGCAATTTTCGCAATAGTTAACAAGATATTAATTACTAAAAATGGCCAAATATTGGTCTTTAATAATTTTTTTCTCAAATACTATGAACTTTACAGAAAAACTGTAAGAGACAAAAATTATTAATTTTCTTCTCATAAAGTTCTGAGAATTTTTTCAGAATTTTTTAATACCGTATTTTCTCATGATAATAAAAATAGGAAAATGCATACTAAAATGCAATACTAAAAAGTTGATAAAAAATTCTGATAAAATTCTTAGAGTTCTATGAGATGAAAATAAACAATTTTTATCTCTTATAGGTTTTTTGTGTAAGAAGTAGGTTTTTGTGTAAGACGTTTTTGTTCCCCTTGACCCATTCTACGCTTTACTTAACACCTACATACATATACATATATAATATCATAATATACATAATTAATTTTCAAATATATATGTGGTTATTTATTAATAAAAGAAACAAAAAGATTTCGATATATTTTCTAGTTGTTTCTATTGATTGTGTTGTTTTACTGAAACGTATATTTCTATATTAATATATTTTGCAAAAATTTTTATTGTGTATTTTCTCGCTTTTGACACATTAAAGCTGTCGTACACAAAATAACGTAAAGATATAAATAAACATAGAAATCGATTAAATCATGAAATACTCAATACATTTTATTATTAGGTAAAATATATATTTCATAATTCGAAATATTTGCATTTTTTCTACTCAAATCGGTGTACAATGGCTTTAATATGAATTAGTGCGCACTAGTGTTTCCAATCGAATTTTCGCCATTAAAAAAAGCGTTAAAAAATATTTAAAAAAAAAAGCTTTATTAAAACAAGGAATTAAATCAGCTTGTAAATAAAATCAAATTCTTTTAATTCATCTATTTTTCGCAAGTTCATTCTTAATTTAAATTGTATTTGTATTATTTAATATTCATTTATTTATATACTATACAGAGTGTTCAGCGATTTTTCAGATAATTCCAACAGTTAAAAAAAAGTTAAAAGATGAATATTTATCTGTTTCATGCATACAACATGCGAAAAGAATTAAGAAAGAATTTTTTTCAGAAAATTAAAGTTCATCTTGAATTTTTTAAGTAGTACCATACAATTTTTTTTTTATAATATTGTAGGAGTCTTCAAGACAAATTCAAATCACCGAAATGTCATTTTTATTGACGTTTTATTGATTTTATTATTATTGACGTTTTATTGATACTTAATATCAAATTTGTAACAGCAGTACTTAATAATACAACTTCTGATTAGACACAGATTATACATATATATATACATATACTAATTATTTAATAAAATATGCAATAAAATGAATAAAACATCAATAAAAGTGATATTTCGACAGTGATTTAAATTCATCTTGAAGATTCCTACATTATGGAAAAAAAATTAATGCTATTTAAAAAATTTAAGATGACTAATTTTCTTATAAAAAAAATTTTTTTTAAATTTTTTTATCGCATATTGTAGCCTATATATAAAACAGATGAATACTCCCTTCAATCTTTTTTTTAGTTGTCTGAAAAATCGTGCAGACCGCGCTACATCCTGTATATATCACTATTTGTATTGAGATAAATGTCTATTTCTTTTGCGATTTATGCAGGAATATCGCAATCTTTGCGAAACAATAACAAAACAAGTGGAGCTTTCCGATGACGATTACGAGTATCTACCCCCATATTATTATGAGGTCTACTGTAAGAGCTATTTGATGTTGAGCGAAGACGAACGAATAATGAAACCATTGGAACAAGTAAACTTATATGTCATACAGTAAAATAGATGAAGAGATTCAATAAAATGGATTCAAAATGACGATTTTTATTGATCAAAAAATATGGGCCAACTAAAAGCAAATTAATAATATTAATATTTAGCGTTGCAAGATAATTTCCAAGAAATGATAAATCTGATAAGTCAGATTTTCATTAAATCGATTTTAAGCTTAGTTTAGAAAAAATGAGAAAACGTTATTAACAAAGTTTTGACTTCAGATTTAATATTTTGTTTTTCCAGAAATGCGTTTATCCGGCATTCCAGTGCGTGCAAAAAAGCCGATCTTTATCTTTGGTCAGACGACGTTGGGGTAGTGAATGTTGGCAACCATATACAAAGGAAATCGCCAGTGGTTGTGACTGCATGTGGCCGGTCACTAACCTTGGCGAGATAAATGAACACTATTGATTTAGTCAAGTTGTATGTTAGTAAAGTTAACGTGTCATTAAATAGTGCAAATATATCACGAAACTCTCTGGACATGAATCTTAGCAGTATCTTTCATAAAAATATTTATTCATTGTATTATATGCGTATATATAAACGCAAATGAAAGAACATAACAAATTTTGCCATGATTAATCCTTCTCTCTTATATATTGCGTTTATTGCGAATAATCAACAACGTAGAAGAATAGAAATATTATATTAGTCACCTCGAGAAATACTTCTCTATAAAACTATTCTTCCTGCAGTAGATTATTTCCACAAATTCGTCTTGTGCTTTGGTAAAAAATGAAATCCATCAGGCACTTTCCCAAGTAACATCTCACTAAAAATAAACAAAATCGTTAATATAATTGAAACTGACGCTGCTCAATGAATGCATCAAGCTAATAATCTTACGATAATTTCACCCAATCGGCGCAGTTGGAACTAGCCATCAGCGTTTCCATATCATCGCGACCTCTGTAAAACGGTGGTCTCTCGTTGATCCGCTGTGGTGGTCTCTCCAAAATTCCAACAGGAATATATCTGCAATATAATTCAATATAAATCCATATTGAAGAATAATATAATGCTTTAATCGAGAGAAACATATTCTTCTCAAGGTAAACTTGCCTATGAAGGAAGGAGATCCATTCCAGCATGAATCTCCTAGTATTTTCGACGCCGCGGGTATCAGATCCCCAGTGTTCGAGCCCGTAATTCGCATATTTCTTGAGAATATCGAATCTCTCTGCACTCGATATGTCGATCAACTTTCTCTCCTTTATTTCGGTAAAAATCCAAGGCTTGATTAGCGCTCCTCGTCCAATGGTGATGCCCTGCACAGTACTGTAGATCTCTTTCGCACGATGATAATCATCAAAGGACAAAATATCGCCGTTTCCAAATACGGGTATCGGCTGCGCTGCTACCGCACATTTTTCTATATACTCCCAATCGGCCAGCTTCGTATATCTCTGCTCACGCGATCTGCCGTGAACCTGAAAGAATTAATCATCAATCTGAATAAGAGACAATAATACAGAAAGATCATATTTCTCTAACGCAGGATATTTACTAAAATCTTGCAAAAAAAAATTCCTTGAGAACTCTCCCAAATTATTCAGGTATTTTTATTCAAAATTCTAGATAAGATTAGAAAATTTTTTAATACAATTTTGGAATAAATTGAAGTATAAACAACGCGAACAAACTATACAATATAAATTAGAAGACAAGGATTTCACTGTATCTATCATTTTTCTACAATTTAAGTCACATCCTACAGAATAGTATAGGGAAGGCTCACTACAATATAGTCTCAGTGAACTACTCTCTTCTACTGAATATTGACTTCTACTGTTACCTGGATTTTTTTTCTATAAAAACTCGCAAGATATACTGTACATTGCAAACCAATTGTCAACATTTTGCAAGAAAAAAAATAAGAGAAATAATATTTTTCGGAAAGAAACAGAATTTAAATGTAAAAATAAAGTTCCAAAAATTTCCTTAAATACCGATAAAATTCCATAAAAATTCCTAATTTTCAAAAATAAAAAAGTAATCGTCTGAAAAGTGCAGTTTTTTCCAAGTAATAAACACCCTACTAACATCTTTTTATTTTTCCCGGGAATAATTTCTTTTTTTTTTTTATATTTCTATGATTAATCATAACATGAATTTTCTATTACAATTTAAAGATGTAGCATATGCAAAACTGAATTTTTAAATAACAATAATCATAATGCGGTATTATAATTCTGACTAATATTTTTCACAGTAAATTTTTTAAGATGTTTATTATTATTACATTGACGATCAATTTAATTTGTGATATTATTTCTGCTTCAGTTTATAATTGCATTTCAAGTCCGAGGGTAATTGGCGCCCAACTTATGTAACTGTACAATGTATTTAAAATTTACATATAAATATTATTAAGTAGATATCAATATTTAGATTGTGTTTGGTTCTTTTTTATTTATTTGACGTGTTCAGCGATCTCAACTTATTGTGAATTCTTAAAGTTATTAAGATATTTTGAAGAACATTCTTTCCTTTCTCTTGATGAATTCAATTCTTTGGAAATACTACAATGTCTTTTAAAAGAGATTCATTAACAAAAAAATATAAATTTAACAGACTTACTCACGGTAATCATGGACACACCCCAGTCTCGAAACTTCGGCATTAGATTATGTGCGATCGGTTTATCTATGTAGACCCCAGTTCTGGTCTTAACGGATAAGGGTATGTCCAACACTTGGCTAACAGACTTTATCACGGTCTCGAGTACGTTCAATCGATTCAGCATACCGCTGCCGCCTCCGTTTTGGTAAATCATATCGATAGGACATCCAATATTCAAATCTATGTAGTCCGCATCGATCTCATGGTTCAGCAATTGTGCACATCGTGCCAGCACTGCTGGATTATTGCCACAGAGCTGCACGCCGAAGATATCCTCGCTCTCGTGTCGCTTCACCAACGCCCATTCCTCCTGCGTGCCTTGCAGTATTTTCGGCGCCAATGCCATCTCGCCGCAGGTTATATCCGCACCATACTCCTTACAAATCCTTCGAAACGGCAGATTGCCTACCGTAGTCAGAGGACTGAGTAGTATCTTCTCGTTCCAATCGATCGTCTTTTTCTCCGATTGTCGCAATCGGATCAAATCGCTGTCATCCACGGGTCCGATTTTCAATTCCTTTGGTTTACACGTGATATTGCAATTAGAAGCGTCTGTTTCCATTTTCTCGTTATCGTTCGCGTTATCAAAAATATGTTTCACCACTTTCTCGCTATTACTATTGTCAGAAATATTAATCATGACATCTGATTTGGTATCATTTTTATTCTCTCGTTTACTATTCAAACTTTGCAATTGCGTTTTTTTCATAGATGGACCGTTGGCTTTGACGATCGCCTCTGCCCTGGAAAAATTATACTTGTGCTTGCGCAATTTGTTTTGCAAATCCTTGGATAAGTGATTTTTGACAGTTGGTGGACATTTGCTATATTCCTCGAGTTTCTTTTTGTCAATAATGTTGAAACCATCTTCAGTCAAGTGTCCTGAGCCCATTCTGCAAGTGGTTCCTCTCGGGCACTTGCCGGTCAAATTAAAAATATAGCACTCTGTACCTATGTCTTCTGGCCTGATCTTCAGATACTTCTTTCGATCATGTAGGAAAGTACAGCGCTGGTTCGAGCATTTTCTCTCCGATTCATTTGCAGTTTGATCCGCGATCCATGGACATAGATTCAATTCCTTGGAAACTTTGAATGGAGGTGGCCTCGCTTTATTTTGTCCTCTGAGCTTCTCTCTCTTGTTTTCCAATTTCGCTTTCTTAGCAGGTGCTTGATCCCCTGATGCATCTGTATCTTCTATATCTGCATCAGTAGATACTTTCTGCTTATCGATCTTTGTCAAACACTGATCATTCAACTGTCTTACATGATCCTCAATAATAAATCTATAATATCAGATACATATATTATATATATATAATTATAAGATAGTAATACTTAATAGATAATAACAAAAATATAATATATAACTGTTCTTTAGATACATTAGTACTTGTGTATAAAAATTTATTGATGAACAGTATTTCAAATAATTTTCACAGAAAATTATCATTGTCATAAATTATCATTAACAGTTATCGTTGTTATATATTTAATATATTTAATATAATAGAATTAAAGATGGAGTCTTATTTGAATTTGGAGGAAAAAAATAATTAAAAGAGGAAGGTATGCACAAGGAGTTTGACATAGGAAATAGAAGCTACAAATATTTAAGGAAAATTTGAATAATGTAGGAATAGAAGAGAGAGGGGAAAAGGGAGAAGGAGAGGGAGAGGGAAAGAGAGAGAGAAGGGGGGGGATGTATGTATGTAAAGGGAGTTAATAAAACTTAGGTGTAGAAATATGGAAAAAGGAAATAAGTATTGGCTAAGTGAGAAGAGAAGGAGAGATATATTTTGTGAAGTAGGTACAAATCACATGGAACATTATGTTGACGAGTACCAGCAAATAAACAGCTGGTTCAGGATATTAGATAGAGATAGAATAGAAATATAGAGTAAACTTTAGAACAAAGAAACTAGACTCGGAAAAATGTGAGGTTCTAAGAAGGTTTTAAGACGAAAGAAAGGGAAGAGGAGATTAGAAAAAAGAATACAGAATCTAAGGGAATTACAGAGGAGATTGGTATTAATTGATGTAATTAGACAGCAGCTAATTAAGGCAGCAATAGCAGAATATGGCTATGATTATGTTCTATGATATTTTTGTGATATATAAGGATAAGAAATCTTTCTTTTCTATGAATAGGTCACTAGAATGGAGATAATAAAATATATTCTATATTCTATCATATAAAGAATCTCATTTATTATATTATGATAAAATATTAATTTTTAAATAAAATTTGAAAAAAGATTAAGTTCTTCGATATCTTACTATAAATAATTCCAATTATCAATATAAATAAAAATTTAAATTAAGGGACAAAAACAGACGATTGATAATCTGTGTCTAATAAACTATTTAGAGGTTAGAAAACGATTTTACGCGCGCTTGTAAATATATTCATATAAGATTCATTCCTTATAAGATTGATATAAGCCATCCGGCAAACTTACGTACTCTTCTTTTATTAAACAAACACCCTTCTGCTTGTCTTCGCCATAATCGAATGAACAGTCCCAACATTTCTCTTCTTTGTAATCTGCCATTTCTTTACACGTGCACTTGAAAGCCGATGATTAGACCAGACTAATCTGTTAGATTAATCCATTCATTAATTTTTTTGGATAATTAGACAGTTTAGATAAAGCACCTCAAAAGTCAATAAAATTAGGCTTATTCAACGTGTTTTTGCACGAAATGGACGAATCTGGCAAAAAAAGTGTTCTCTGCCCTGCGAAGTGAGATATCATTAAAGTTAATTATTGTTAGGTTAGGAAATCTGTCACATCGATGGCATAGAGGGTTAGGTATACAAATTCGGTTTTATAAACACAATTTTTCTTCTTTAAAAACGTAAATTCTCTGAGTATTTATTTAGAATACCTTCCAGTCCTAAAA